GGAGCTTAGACTATGGCTCATGTATAGTGTGGTTCCTGCAAGGCTCGCAGAGATTCTGGAAGGGATGGAGTCAATCTGTGCTGACAAGGACCCCAATGGTAGTTGATCAAACTGTCTGTTCGACAAATGGCCGCGACAAGCATGATGTGCCCGGTAAAGTTGAAAACTCTATAACTTGCATCAAGAGCTAGCTGCCGGAATTACGAAGCCTTTGATAGCTGTGTGTGGATCGTGGGTAAGGACTTGTTGACGAGGGACTGAAACCGTCTCTGAGAGCCTCTTTGAAAACAAGAGATAATTAGTGACGATTGCAGGTTCCCTGGCTTCCCAGCGCTATGACGGGAACTCAAGAAAGGCCACGCAGGATCCTGGCATCTTGACTTGCAATTCAGTCCTCGCGCGCGGAGCGAATCGGGAACTCCGTGACCAGAAGATACGGTACGTGTGGTGTGGCGACCATCCCGTGCAAGACCTGGCAGTGCTCCCTTCGAGCCACCTGTGGGCTCAAGGATTTAGAAATTATAGGCCTTTGAAACATCTTGGGAGAGGGGAGAGGGACGAGGTCTTGCGGAGTCCTCCCTGCTACGCTCACCATCAGGCAAAGCCAGATTCAGAAGAAACAGAGCGCGGCAACAATCACTCGTACCTGCGAAAGAAAACAAAAAGAAAAGAAAAGATATCATCCCAAGCCCAACCCCTTCGAATCCCTTGCCACGGGAGGAGGCAACGAAAGCAAGTAGAATACCTCAGCTAACCTCAGCAAAAACCGCGAAACTTTGTAGAAGTCGCGCTTGCCTCACCGAGCCTTGGCCGGCGTCCAAAGTGGCGCTCTCAAAGGGCCAGGCTCCGCCTCTAGTACACAAAGCTCTCACAGGGGTCCTGGGGATAGCCAGTATACTATAACGTTGTTACATGATGAGGGAATGCTGGTGGCAAGTCTTCTGGCTGCGGTATTCCAGAAGGATCTGAATCTGGCGGTTGCTTATAACCAGGGTCTTGCGGCGGAGGATTGAACATCTGCGTTGGAGCAGCTTTTTATATGTGGCCCCTGCTGTGTAAATGTGAAAACTACGTCTGTTCCCTGTCTTTCGCCACAAGATTTGTCAGACTTCGCAGAAGTACTCATCGGAACGTCCAGTTAAGAGTGTAGTGTTGAGGCGTCCTTCAAAAATAGCTGCGCATCAGCACTACGGTGGATCACCAGCAGAGCCCCCTGATGTCCTGACATCGCCAAAAGTACAATACTGCTCCATACGAAGTACTACAACTAGCAGCAAAAAGGATCGTCATGTGTACCGTCCGAAATCCCATGGAAAGCCAGGCTCAAGTAGGCGACCACCCTCAATGAGGGGTGTCTCTGTAGGGGCTGTAGCATTTAAGCCTGCGTCGTGCTTGTACAATCCAGAGCCAAGAGGAAGAGTAGGAACTTCCTATGCTGTGGACTTCAGTGTCCCTATCTAAAATGCCTCTGAGAATGAATAGCAACACCAAGTGCTACGTCTGAAGTTGCGCGAGATTAAGCCCATGTGACGACCTGGAACTTCATTAAGACCGGTATGCCATAATCTAGGAAAGGATTTGAAGAGGGTCCCTTCTCACTCCCAAGCTCCCCCATAAAGTCTTGATTCCACACAACCCAACCTAATCACAAAGTCTTCATCAATCTTTTTCTTTCGGACTTAGAAATGAAGGCATCCTCCAGTACAGACATACAGACAGACTATGCAACTTCCCAAATCATAATGTGGTGACCCCCCCCCCCCCTGTCCCAGCGTCTTAGTAGTTACAAAAAAGGGGGAGGCGTAACCAACTTCACACAAGACCGCTGCTGTAAGGGTGCAGTACTCAAGTCACACACTCTGTAGGGGTCTAAGTGGAGAATGGCCATACATTGAGTACCGCGCCCAGTAACACCTATAATGCGGGTAATACTACAGGCTATATAGAACCATGTTATAATCAGTGTCCAACTGTTAAAGAGTGGAGGCAGTACCTAATCCACACACCAAGCATGCATGCCTGCTCTTCTCGCCAGAAATCCTCTCGTTTCATGTACAGGACAATGTTCCGACCTGTGCTAGGAATACTGTTGATGCTGAAATAGTTGTTCTTGCTGTTGTCCACGGCCTTCTTTTTGCTACTAATCAATACGACGTTTGTTTGTCCTAGCAATTTTGCTGCTCTCTGCACAGCATGAGCAATGCGCCACCGATGTTCGTCCATGAAAGAGGTTGGTGGAGCCTGATGCATTGCCAAAGCATCCAACTCAATATTGTACACGCTTCCGAACAGCCATACTCAACCGATTCTTTAACTCTCCATGCTCCCTTGGAAGAATCCCTAAATTGATCTGCTCTAATCCCCTCCAAGCTCTACAAAACACCCAGGAATCCCTGTGAGGCTGATCAACCTTCAGCCGTCAAAACAACCCACAGTAGCTGAGGAACGAGCCAGTAAAGGGCAGCCGGGCCGCCCTCATTCGAGGATCCTTGCAAGAAGAGGTGGGTACATGCATACTGCAGCGGCCAAAGACATAGTCCAGATGGGGGCCACATCAAGATTTTAAGTCATCTTGACTACTCTACAGCAATGTACCTCAGTACCATAGGCCCTTTCAAACATTGCAATCTCGAGTACTCAACAAGGTAATAATGCTTAGCGGCTCAGCCTAAGCAGCTTAGGTGACCCACAGTTGTCCGGAACCCCAAAAAGGAACAAGAGCACACTAGTGGACTGAAAAATGTCTTTATCTTCGCGTGTATGTGTTAGAGGATCCTGTTAGCATAGCTTCAAGTATGCACCTCCCAGTCGAAGCCAGCGTTGACGTCATGAAGTGGGTAACAGGACATGTCTTTCTTAATTCTTGGGCAAGCGACACTTGTCTGGCAAACGGCATGAGTTGAGCGAGTCTCTGCAATGAAAACTAGCTCAACAGGCAGCGAAAAGCCCATGGCAGCCCTGGCCTTCTCCCGCAGGAAGCGAATAAGCCCGCTGTATCCTCAGCATGTAGACGCACACACGCGCTCTGCAAATGCCTGCGTTCGATTACTCGGTGCCAGTTGGCCTGTGCGGAGAAAGATCCAGTTCCTGGTCGCTACCAGGAAGTTGTTGAGCCATATAAAGCTCAACAAATTCGAAGTTCTCTACTTCAGCACAGGAATGTGCCGTCCAGACCTCAGAGGCAAGAGGGATCCTGGTACAAACGCCTGCTCAGAAAGACCGAGTTCCTTGGGATCCAGTCAAAGGTGGCCACAAGGAGAGTGCTCATGGGCTGGTTATCCTTGAAAAGCTAAAGGCATGGCCGCTGCGAATTACGAAAGCCTCAAAGTAGCACCAAGATAGCATTCGCAAGAGTCTTTAGGGGTGTGGTAGTACCTTCTTGTCACGGCCCAGTGTCCAGAAACCCCGCTGCCGTCAAGAAGACATCGGTCACCAAAGAGCTTCGGGAAAACGCAACAGGGTACCACCTGAGCAAAGCGGCTGGACGAGATGAATAGAAGCTAGCGCCTAGTGCTTTGTGCAGGAAATCAGGCAATGCAGGATGCAATTGAATTCTCACATCATTCTGTCGCAGCAGCAGCAGCAGCAGCAGCAGCAGGTTGAGCCGATGCCTTGGCAGATAAGCCTAGAATATGTAGAACGAGTCTTGACGGTGGGCAGGGCAGCCAAGGTTTCAGCCCTCGCTCCAGAACACCCGAAGCCTAACATCCAAACCTGCAAAGCCCGCGTCACCTTTGAGGTCCAACCTGCCATCAAACCATCCAGTCCAAGCCATCACCCCTAAACCGTCGAAATCTGAAAACCTGGATCGTTTCACCAAGCGGAGCTATGCGCGGACCAACCAAACTCATGGCCTGTAGATCTGCAAAGCTTCACAACACCGTCTATATACCAACCCTACATGATTCCCATTAAAGCTCCTACAGGATCTCCACCTGGGCATACCATCAGGGTTCCCTGTGTTCCCAGGCAAGATAGTCAGGTCCCTGTCATGGAGACGCAAAAGAAGACCAGATTTTGACATCCCGCGGTGAATTCGCTGAGCCACGGCGAAGGGGCGCTGGGCTTGCAGAGCCTGGTCCACCACTGCATCTGTGGCCTGGCAGGGTGGGCTCTGATGGCAGTGGTCGTTGGTGGCAGCACTTTACTGTTCAGGGCTTGGGGTTAGGCATGTACTTTCAGATTTCAGGGTTTAGCGGCCAAAGCCTGCTGCGCCTTCCCTCATGTCCAACTCAGCTGAGCCGCAACTCCTAAGTTCATAGATTCCAGCCACAACCCCTAAGCTCCACTCCCCTAAAGCCTCGAGGTCTTATCGCCTACTGCCAGATCCCTCCTCATCCGGGTGCATGGCAACCACAGCAAGCGAATCGCTGACCAAGTCACGGGATGAATCCTCAGAGGCTAGGCTGGCAGGCAATCATCTCTCTCAGAATTGCAGATTTCTTGTTGAGGGTCCCAGCAAAGAGCAGATTTATTGGGATCAGGCGTCTTGAACGTACCCAAAGGGGGGCAGGCGTCTGGCAAAGAGAGGCCCCTCTCGTCGATGCCGACATTGTTGAGAAGCGACTTCTACTTGTTGAGCGGTTTCATATGTTTTGGGCCACCCGCTCAAGTCCAAATCAATCCTCGAGAAACAGCATGTGTAAACTCCCTTGGTCAAGCCGTGGTTACGATTGGTCTTATGGCATTGGGTGTGCCATGCCTACCCTACCGTACCCCGCTGGGGACTGCATGATGATGGCCAACGCGACTGAAGTCATCCGGGTTCATCACATTGAAGTTCCATGCGCTGAACTTGCACGCCTCAAACGATCCCAATTAAAAAGCAGCCAGATTTTGAAATGATAATCTACCATTCCTGTAATCCGTATAGTCTCACGTTGAGTTTAGATGATGTCTGATGCAACCCGGCGAGCATGGCTCTTTACTTAAATATATGTTGCCGAGACATCGGCAAAAGGTCCAATGTGAGGCGGAAACCCCGAGACAAAGCGCACCCATGTCCTGATGGCATTGCGCAGATCGCTCTAGTCTCTATCCCTCTGCAGGTTACGCAGACTAAGCTGAGATGGCGACGTCAAAGTATGCCCTGACCCGCCGCACGGCGGTCTCAGAGTGAATGTCTGCCTGCAGCGTTCAGGTCAGGGTTGGGTTTTGAGACTCAGGGCATAGCGCTTAAGGCCTAAGGCCTGGAATGGGGACAGGAGCAATAAGACTCTACCTAGCACATGGGCACGTATAAGTACAGCCACCCAAATCCTGAACCTTAAACCCTACAACCTCGCGAACACCATTAAGCAGGGCTATGACTGTGCTAGGTTGGCTGCTAACTACAGTCGGAAGTATCTGCTAAACTCTATCAAATCCCCCTCTCTGGCCCAAGTTCAGGGGTTCGGCGTGTCTGTGCCTGAGGCTGACGAACATACTGCTTGACAATCATGCCGACATCTCCGAGAAGAAATGACAACGCAGTTCATGTTGGGTGCATGGATTAGCCGCACTAAAGTTCTGAGTGCGAAGATCCTTGAACTAGATCCACACCGCTGATAATGACATGTGGTCTCTCCAAACGATAATTCTATGATTTCACACCCGACTGTTTGTCCCAACTTTGGGTCTGCTTCTACGTCCCATTTGGGCACCCATCATGCGAAGAACCCGTCTCCAGGGCCTCCGTATCTGGCGTGTGGGTGGCGGAAGCATCTGTCCACTGGCTCCTTTGCTGGAGGCCCATCTTCCCCATGCATTTGCAAATGCTCAATTACTCCCGGGCTCTTGTCTCATGGGTTGCAGAAGTGGCCCTTGAGGAGTCAAGACGTTGACCTAGGACCTAGTGCAGGGTTCTCTCTGGTGTTCTGTTCCCCCTCTATAACGGGCAACTGCTGGAATCTACACTAATCCTACATGCTCCTGACATGGTCTTCAGGTATAGTGCTGGCTCACATGAGCTATGGTGAAACTCCTAGTATCCCCCTTGATAACCCCTTATAGTAGTCCCCTATATAATTCCCTTGATCATCCCCTTTATGGAATTTAGACAGTGGCTAACATGGTTTACGCGAAGGAAAGAAGCCACTCTGATTGAGTCGCTGCACCTCTCCAACATCTTTCACCAAGCCAAAAATCCCCCTCCGTAGAACTCCTCCCAAAAGCACAGGACCCGCGTAGAGAAAAGTCCAAGAGAGACCCATCACCTTGGGAACATAAGATTCCACAATCTACTATAACATCCTATAATATTCCATACTATACCATAATATTCCACAGTATATTATGACATTCCGACCTTATTTGGGCTCAGTGTCTCAGCTATGGGCCTGGGGTCGATGACCACCACATCTTCAACGCCACGTGCTTGCAAGGCAATCGCCAGGGCTCCTCTCCCAACATGAACCATAAACTCTCAAAGTACTTGGGCAGTTGACGTCTGCCCGAAGCATGCAAGGGAAGCAGACTTTTATCAGAAGCATCACGATACCGGCTCAGGTGTCAGCAGGGCTCAGGCTTCATGGCAGCTGAGTCGTTGAGATGTTCATTCTTTTTACCTCTGGGATATGTTAGTAGTGCGACACATGACGCAGCCCCCGCCGCATTGGTTGTTTACTTAATGCATCTGACGCGTGCTTTGAGGGCACAGTCCATGAGAGAATCGAGCAGCCTGTTGGCACACACTGCTCAAGCGCAGTGCTAAGCCCGACACAGTGAGGAATTTCTTTACCCGTGACAAGCCGGCGCGAGCAGCTATGTTACCAGAGTCTGCTTTGCACATAAGAATCCATTCCAGCCTGTGTACATCCAAATGGTAGCCGTCATCGCCTAACGTGCACAAAGCATGAAATCCCTCATCCCTAGACCCCAAACCTCCCAAGGCTTACCTCCTAAAGCCTGATGTTGAATACTAAACTCCTAAACTCCTAAAACCGAGTCCTTTCCCTCCAGCGACTTCCAGGACGTAGCCCTGACTGTGGCCGGAAGATCATGGGCCAATCGTTGGGACGCGAGCAGGGGCTGTAGCAGTCTATCAGAACAGTTGGCCCCACATCCGCCCTCTGTTGATTCATGTATCATATGTAGGACTTCCAGGTATAATCCGTAGATCTGTGGTTGGAAAAATTATTCAAGGTGAGAGGGTCTGAAGTCGGATGTGACTAGGCGGCACACCATGAACAGCTCAACCTGAATCAGGGCTTGTTGAATGAATCCTTTTGAGCAAGCCTCAACGCCTCTACAGCACAAACGGCATCGTCTGAGTCCCGATGTTCGGCTGCAGCCACAGTACCGGCCAAAGGGTCTTTTGACCTGTGTTGGGGTATAGCCGAATTACCATGCTTACGCTAGCCACTATACATGACTGATTACCCAGGCTTCTATGTCCCAGCCTTGCTCGAATCCAAGAGTTCGGCAGCAATGAACTCCGCAAAAATGTTGTGCCTCTCCTCCTTCAAGTTTCTATGTCAGGACTAGTGCATGTAAAAGTGGGGGGTTTCTGGTACAGGATTGGGGGCTCAGGAATTCATCAAGACTTGCGAGTTTCAAAGACCAGAATTGTAAACCCTGAGCCCAAACCCCACCTAAGAGAGAGCGTGACGCATTTCGTTGCAGCTGAGAATCGGGGAATACAATGCTTGGGGCTCGGAGTTGAGATTGCCAACGCATGTGTTTTGCAAAAAAAAAAAAAATTCCAGCCGGGAGCCCTGTCATTTGAGACCTTGAACAGCAAGCTCCGCAACTCTCGAACACCCCAAAGCCGATTACCCTCCCCAAACCTCACCTTTTGGAGCCAGTGGTAATCCTCAAAGTCAGGATCCCCCAAATGCGCAAAAACACGGGCATCTCCAGTATCCCAAATTCAAGAAGGACCCATAAGCTCAAGAAACAGCGGTCCCCAAACCCACCATATATACCTGTAAGTTCAGTTCAACATAAGCATCACTCGCAATTTAAAGAAATCCCTACCACCTTGCAGCTCAAGTTGTTCATGGCAGCGCTGCGCGGTCGACAGCTCAGATCCAGCAGGCGCCCTGCCTCCGACGAAGCAACTACTCACAGAAGAATGCCCTCGCCCAAACAAACCGGCAATAATGCATAGCTCTCTAAAAAGAGAGAGAGAGAGAGAGATATATATATATATGTATATATATGTATATATACATGTAGATGTAGATGTCTATGTATAATCTTCGGTAGTATCTTCGGGATGCGTCTTGGTAGAGGTTTGGCATGTGCAGTATGAGAAGGAGGTACCCGGTGAACTGAAATGCTGATTTCCTAAGCTATGGATCTCATATAGATATCCAAAGTCTTCCGCACGCACACCCCTCCTTAAGATTGCCCTTTGGCTCCCTTTAGCTACCCTTAAGCCCATTTGGGGGCTTCCCAAAATTAGGGGTACCTTTTTGGAGTAGGCTGGGGTCTATATTGGGGGCCCCTTCTTCTGCGGAAGTACCATTTAAGCCTTCTGAGAGGGAATGTCATCCTGAGGACCATGTAAAATCGGCTCTGACTGCCAGAAGATGATCCAGAGGCCACCCAGTACGGCCTAGATGATCTCTACAGATTTCTAGTACCTCTGCAATCCATGGTAAACTGCAACACTCAAGTCAGCCGAGCGTCTTGATAAACAGGAGGTCCACAAGGGCTGCTGGAGCCTCTATCTTCCTGACGCGAAGCAAACATGGGTTATCAGTTTCGCCATTCCTACTATTCATGCACATGTGTGAATTTCCAAAGGTGGGGTTGGGGCGCGGGAGGGTTTCTGTCAGGGATATGCTGGGGAGGATCAGGGAGATTCTCACAAACAAATAAAGATAACAGGAGGTCAACTTTTTTGGGGAGGGAGTTTCTGCTTTGACAGGTGCCCCATCCGAAATCATGCATGACACCAATATAACTCACTGGCTCCCCAGAAGCTTCAGCCAAAGGAGTCGCAAGCACAACTAATGTAAATCACCCACGTCCCAAGCCCTGTCAATTGAGGCTCTGAAAGCACCGCTACAGGGGCATCCCTTTGCTGGAGCCTTTGGCTGCCCCCACATGAAACCACTCAGAGAATTTTTTTCTTTGCGACAAACATGCTGCATCACGCTGGGGCTCCAAACGGCCCAAGGTAGACAAGGTAGATTTATATTCTTCAAGACAAGATATCTGTAAGTAGGAGTGTTTATACTCGATAAGCTCAACTCATAGCAGTACCAATAGCGGTAGTGGTACTAGCAGTGGTAGCACTAATTACAGTAGTAGTGGTAGAAATATAACTAGTAGGAGGAACAGTCCGTAGGCTTCATCCCCTGCTGTCCTGGCAAGCCACACTGCAGGTCAGCGAAAAATCCTCCTTTCCCATGGCCAATGCGCGTGTGCGAGGAAGCTTGTCTGCTAGCGCCTGGCAAAGACGAGTGTTAGGGATCTGGATTCAGGGTTTAAGGGCTTTGGGTTGTTCTGGTTGAGGAAGTTAAGTTGAGGGCTTTTGTAATCCTGAATGGTGCGTCAACTAGATAATTAGTTGTCATTTCTAACAGCACAAAAACGCTTCGTGCAGCCCACAGTTGGCATTGCACTCCTTGTTGTAACCTTAACCTCCAAGTCCTCAGTCCTAGTCAGCTGTCTCGGACTACCCTGGTGTAGACCCCTAATGTCTCAACCTGACCCCGAATATGGATGATATTAGGACTTGACATCTGGAAGCCTATGTTCCACACGCGCCTCCAGCTCTTCGGGCGAACACCGGTCTTCTGCTATCTGGAACACGATCTGTGCACGATGTCCTTGCAAAGGCGAAGACTTCCAGCATTGCCTAAGGGGGTATATAGGGCTATATTATGGGAATAGTGGAGATTCAAATGGAAAATGTCATGGAAAGTGGATTTATGTGGGGGTTTACAGGTATCATATAATGTAGAGGCCTCAATAATTACCAATACCATGTTGAGGTCTATATGAGGAACCCTGTACCGTGATTAGGCAAGGAATCTTGGGCCACATAATGGCAATCGCTTAGGCCCAGGTATTAACCCCAACCCCTAAACCCTAAATCCTAACCTACCTGTAATGCGCATCAGGGGGACGAGGGGGGAAGCTGGGGGCAGTGGAAACTTGGAATCCCCGCGTGAGCCCGCGTGGTATCTCAAGCTTCCTACAGAATCCTCCCATAATGAGGACAGAGGGGACTCAATTTCTGAGTGAGACCGTGGTAATGCTTGAGGAAGCAGCCTTCAAGCTTCCCAGAAACTCTGCTGGATGTGTCTTTTCGCGAATAACTACAAGTCTGTAGAGTTTGAATGTGCTGACAAAGAAGCAAGGAAATTGTAGGTTAAACTATTAAACAAGCACTCCAAATTACATTCTGAGATGACGTCCATGGTCTCTGAAGTGCTCCCTTGCCGCAACGCTCAGGCGGAGCGCGGGAAAACGGCAAAGAACCTTCTAAGAAGCGTAAAAGCCCAACTTTACACCTGCGCGGCCACGCGAAAGAAAAGCGCTATCGCTTAGTGAAATGCGCGTCAAAGGCAGGCGGGCAGGCAAGGGGAACCACAGGACCTAAACCAGGGCAGGCAACCGCGGACTAGAACCATAAGTAGGGGAAAGCATAACTATGACTAGGGGAACCCTGGACAGGCGGCTCTGCATGAGTGGAGGGCGTTGGCGCGGGGGCCAAGACTAGAACCCTAAACAAGCATTGCCTCCTTCCCGCGCCAGTCAAGATTTTCCACAAAGTTTAGGGCAGCAATACTCAATGCCAAGCCGACGTAACTCTTCGACCACAAGCATCTTTACTAATGCCTTCGTTTCTACACCCGATTTCCTGGACGCTGAATTATAAGCGCAAATTGGTTGCAGCTGAAAGCCTAAGACTTGCCACGCCCCATCGGCGGCCTTCATCAGTCAGGCCCGCGACAATGGCAAGTCTTCTGCCAAAGCTGCGGTGTTGATCCACCAGCACCAGTGTCAGCCGCTCTCCTTCCTTCTTCTTCAACGATTTTGGGGTTTTGGGATTACAAGCTCAGTAGCCAACTCCCTGCCTGCGTAGCAATGCACTCGTGTGCGTCTGTCGAATACAGCAGCACTTCCAAGCCATCTTGCATGGCGAAGAGGCGACTGCTGCTAGCAACTTCTGCTGACAATGCACTTGCTGAATGCTCTCACTGAGTTCTGTTCAGGTGACACCCCGACTCAATATCCCGCATAATTCCGCTACTTGCTGTGCCATGACCATGCACTTCTGGTACAATTCCAAAGATGGATTTGTGAGCAGGTGGGCCAAAGCACTTTGGCATTGGAGGCTAGAAGTAGCTTGCATTCCTCTTTGCAAAATCAGGAGCGACTCCCTTAGTACACAAGGACATGCCCGTCTGGAACTGCAGCAAGAGTAAGCCAGGGCAACCAACATTATGCGCAGTCTTGAAAAAACCTGACTCCGGCAGTCAAGCGTGCCTTTTTTTGGCCTTGATCGCTCCAGGCTGTTGGCGCTGGACGCTTGACTGCCTGATCTTGCAAGATGCCACGCTGTCTCCTGCAAACTGGATGTGGAGACAGAAGGTGGATTGAACCCTAAAGAGATGCTCTGGGATCTAGTGGTCACTATGGTTCAGTTGAAGCCCTTGGACATTGTTCCATCTTTCCAAGTCACTGCTTTGCTTCAGCACATGTGTTTAGGGTCTGTGGTTGTACGCATGCAGACCACTGTCATTAACAGCAGACTTTGCGCGCCAAATGCTTTGCAGGCTTCGCGAAGGCATCCATGATGCCGGCATCCATGATGCCCGCGAGGATTGATGTGTTGCATTGTGTTGCGACACGCACTAACCGGGTACTCCTCAACTTCTTTTGCCCTACGATGAAGGAACAGAAATCACAGATCTTCAGGTCCCTTGAAGCCGTGTACTCGCAACCTATCAGAAAGATTCAGAAAGCACATGATGGCATACTGACTGGCGATCCAAGGAATCCTGCACCCGCCTGAATACCTCGAGTCCTACTGTAGCAAATATCTACAGTGGATTCAGTATGCCAAGTGACAGAAGATTTCCTGGGCCAACAAGCTTTTCAAGGAGGTCCTTGCTCGAAGTGATTCGCCGGTTCGTGCAAGGCGATCCAGATTCATTCGCCGCTGGTCTTCGCGCTTTTGGCCCTATGCAGTGGGAAGAGGTTGGACGAGCTAGGGTTCTACGGCTTTCGATTCAGGATCTGGTGTGTCGGCCGAGGCAAACCAAAATAACCAAAGCTTTGCACTACAAGCGCCTCCTGTGGCCGGCGCAGCCCCAGAAGCACGCGATTCATTAGAGTGATGGCCTGGCATCGAGGGCATGGAGCCATGTGCCCCATCCAAAACGGGAAGTAGTGACGTGGGCATAACCCCCAATTGCTCAAAATATTCCGGACATGTTGGCTTTCTAGTTTCCAGCCTCATCGATCTTCCGGATCCTGGCCTGCAGGAGCGCGCATTTTCCACTGGCTCTAAAGCCAGCAATGGTTTATGAACAGTTCTAGGAATTGCTTGAGTTGCAGAGATGTTGATACTTGTTCTGCGGGCACGTCTGAAGTTCAAGGATTCATCGCCAGTATGAGGGGCATTCGTGCGAAGCATGCAATGTGGTCTTGGAGGCTTCGTGCATGGTTCTCCACCTGAATCGCAGCAAGCTAAACAGCACGTAGCAGCCTGTCACGCCAACCCCAAGTAATATTGCAGTACCTGGAGATGTGGGTTGCCTTTGAGCTGATTTGGGTAAAAGGGGACAGTGTAATTTCCGACCAGAATCGTAGCTGCAATGCTCATGGTCATGACGAATAGGCTGACTAATAGACTGCATTCCGTACCCCCACCACTCCAACCCTGAGATCCAGTAGGCTACTTCTGCCATGACCCCCCTTAAGTGCTGTGTTGAATCCTTTGCTGCAGCACCGTCTACCGTGCCGGAAAGAGGCATCCAGAGTCATGAGGAGGTCTGAAAAAGTTTCACGTGTCTTCCATGGGTTCTGTGCCTGAA